TCCTTCTGCTCACTCTGGGCTTTTCTTGTTGCTCTCTTTCTTATAAGTACCGCGCGCTAACCGATTGCGCCACTGGAGCTCCTGTTGCTCTCTTTCTAATTCTTTGAGTTGTAGAGTTAGATGATTTACTACCATTTTTTCTTGTTTTTTTGAGGTAGACCTGTAGAGCTATAAAATTCCCTCTCAGGACTGCTTTCATTGTGTCCCGTAGAGTTTGGATTGCTGTGTTTTTATTGTCATTAGTTTCCAGGATGTTTGTAATTTCTGCTTTGATCTCATTAGTAACCCAATCATTATTTAATAGCATGCTATTCAGCTTCCAAGTATTTGAGTTTTTTGGATAGTTTTTATTATAGCTTATATCTAATATTATGCCATTGTGCTCTGAGAAGATGCTTGGTATGACTTCAATCTTCTTGAATTTGGGGAGACTTAGCTTGTGACCCAATATGTGGTCTGTTTTTGAAAATGTCCCATGTACACTTGAGAAGAACGAATATTCTGTGGCTTTGGGGTGAAATATTTCTCTCCTTTGATATCTTCCAGGGTTTTTTTTATGTATTTGGGTGCTCTTGCATTGGGTGCATATATGTTTATCAGGGTTATATCCTCTTGTTGTATTGATCCCTTTAGTATTATAAAGTGGCCTTCCTTATCTCTTGTTATGACCTTCACTTTGAGGTCTATTTTGTCAGATATAAGTATTGCTACCCTAGCTTTTTTTTCATTTCCATTTGACTGAAAGATATTTTTCCTTCCCTTCACTTTCACTGTGTGAGTCCCTTGTTCTAAGGTGGGACTCTTGTAGACAGCATATATATGGTTCATGTTCTTTTATCCATTCAGCCATTCAATGTCTTTTGATTGGAGCATTTGTCCCTTTATGTTTAAAGTTGTTATTGAAAGGTATTTGTTTGTAGTCATTTCTATTTTTGTGCCTGTGTTCTTTCTTACCTTTTTATTTCTTCTTTTTACAGATTCCCTTTAGCATTTCTTGCATTGCTGGCTTGGTAGTGATAAACTCCCTTAGCTTTCTTTTGCCTGCGAAGCTCCTGATTTCCCCTTCAATTTTGATTGATAGTCTTGCTTGATAGAGTATTCTTGGATTCAATCCTTTGCTTTGAAACACCTGGTACACCTCCTTCCATTCCCTTCTAGCTGATGTGTTTAGAAATCTGTGGCTGGAATGTCTGGATTCTTGGTGTCTGTGGGTCTGCAGTTGTGGTAGCAGGTCTCTGTCTCCAGGGGCTGCAGGATCCTAGTTTGTGTCTGAGACCAGACTTGGTGGTGCTGAGGCCAGGATCCTAGTCTCAAGCAGCTCTGTTTCTCAAGATGGCATGGTCTCTGTGCCTGCACTGGCCACCTTGGAGTGTCTGCGTTGGGAGCGGGGCTCCGCCATCTAAGAGTGCCTGGTTTGGCAGCCCCTTGGAAGACCTGCAGAATCTAACTTTCCCTAGCTCATACACACACACACACCACAGGTCCACACACTCCTCTATCACTTCCTTGCGCTCTCACACTCTCTCCTTCCCTACCTTCCTGCCGGTTGCCATCCTTCTTCTCCATAGCAGTATCTGTTTTCTATAGATCATTCTTAATAATGAACTACAACGTTCAGTAATGACTGATGACCATCATCCTGTTGCATTCATTTCCCTTATGTAGCTTACGCGCAGGTGCACCATTTCCCTCCACTAATACTAGCAGCGAATATTTTAGCAGCCAATGGCCAATTCCTTACTCTTAGACTGACTCATTCGGTGTGCACAACAGAAAATATCTTGCTTTTGGAGAACAAGAAAAATAGATTTATTTGCATTGTGCTTATTCATTTGTGCAGTTATTCAGTGTCTGGTAAGTCAATGTTCAAGAAAAAATATTAATTTTTATTAAAGTGTTCTATTATTTTATGTGAGTGATGACTCATTTATTTCAGCCCTTTGTATTCATCATGTCACTATTGAAATAAACCTACATTTCTATGAAAATTGAAGGGTTTTTTTTGTTTTTTGTGTCCCACATACACTTAAATCTTTTTTTATTTGGCCTGTGTTAGCTTTGAGTTTGACATGCTTGTTCTGGAGTACTCATACACCTTTCATAAGGTTCCCCAACAATTTCAGAATGAATTGAACAAACACCACAATGAATGAAACATACACACCCTCTTGTGTGTGTGAGCTCCATGTGGCCATTTTAGAAAGCTTTCCAAATATAAAATGAAGTCTTGGAAATTAATGACCATTTGTGCCATGTATCAAAAGAGGCAAGGAGGCCCAGCCGGTGTTGCTCAGTGGTTGAGCATCGACCTAGGAAACAAGTCACAGTTTGATTCCCGGTCAGGGCACATGCCTGGGTTGTGGGCTCAATCCTAGTACGGGGGTACAGGAAGCAGTGGATCAATGATTTTCTCTCTCTCATCATTGATGTTTCTCTCTCTCTCTTAAATCAATAAAAATATATATATAGTTTTAAAGATGTAATGAGAATGTTTTGATTTTCATCATTGAAAACCCACTCCAGTTTTAGAATCATTTGCTGTGAACCATGGCTATGGAAATACATACCTTTAGCCTGGCTTCTTGCTGGCTTCAATAAGCCACAGGATAGCCCTAGCCCCGTGGTCGGCAAACTGCGGATCACGAGCCACATGCGTCTCTTTGGCCCCTTGAGTGTGGCTCTTCCAAAATACCACGTGCGGGCGCGCACATACAGTGCGATTGAAACTTCGTGGCCCATGCGCAGAAGTTGGTTTTCGCCCTGGAGGAGTCTACTTTGAAGAAGTACTATTGATATTTGGCTCTGTTGACTAATGAGTTTGCCGACCACTGCCCTAGCCATTTTGGTTCAGTGGATAGAGCGTTGGCTTTCGGATCTAAGGGTCCTGAGTCCATTCTGGTCAAGGTTACATACCTTGGTTGTAGGCTCCTACCCAGCAGGGGTGCTGGTCAGGGTGAGAGCAGGAGGCAACCAGTTGATGTGTTTTTCTCACATCGATGTTTCTCTCCTTCTCTCTTCTAATTTCTCTGAAAACCAATGGAACGGCCTTAGCTGGTTTGGCTCAGTGGCTAGAGCATTGGCCTGTGGACTGAAGGGTCCCAGGTTCAAATCCAGACAAGGACACATGCCTAGATGGCAAGCTCACTCCCCAGTGTGGGGCATGCAGGTGGCAGCTGAATAATGATTCTCTCTCATCACTGATCTTTTTATCTCTCCCTCTCCCTTGCTCTCTGAAATCAATAAAATATTTTAAAAAATAAAAAATCAATGGAACAAATATCCTTGCATGAGAATTAAAATAAATAAACACATTTACCATTAAACACACACACACACACATGCACACACAGTTACAGGATAAAGGGCTCATGGTTCCTGGGGCTCCTGCCCAGGGGTCAGGTGAACATCACTGAGTGATTATCTATTTCACCGCCCACACTAAGATGATGCTTTCGCGGGGTCCCTACAGAGACACGTCCCCATGGTTTTAACTACAAACATCTTTTTAAGTAGCAAGCGGGGGTTTACAGCCGAGAAAACTTACCGAAATCTGTTTTAACTCTTCGTCGTGTACTAACTGGAGTGGATCAATAAAGGTTTCCTTGACGTTAATATCAAAGGATTCTTTCACCTCCGCCATCAGCTTCATAGCTTCGCCCATATCAGTCAGCGCTCTGCCTGGCACAGAAAAACAAATAAAAATCGTTCGTTCACAGAGCACCCGGAGGTTGGAGGCGCTATTCACTTCTTATCCAAGTTATGTGGGTGATGGTTTATTTAACAAGGTCTTCACTTGGAAAAGAATACAAACAAAAACTTTTTTTAAAACATATTTTTATGGATTTCAGAGAGTAAAGGAGAGGCAGAGAGAAACATCAATGATGAGAATCATGGATTGGCTGCCCCCTGCACAGCCTCCACACAACCCAGGCATGTTCCCTTACCGGTAATCGAACTGTGACCTCCTGGTTCATAGGTCAAATCTTAACCTCTGAGTGTAATTAATTATAATAATTACAATTCTTTTTTTCTTGAAATATTTGTTTATTGCATGTAATATTATTATATTTAATATCGTTTTTCTTGAATAATTGGTGTTTATTGCATATAACATTGTGTTTAAAATCATTTTTTCAAAATATTAATGTTTATTAAAGGTAACATTATTATATTTAAGATTGTTTTTCTTGAGATACTAATGTTTATTGCATGTAACATTATTATATTTAAAAGAGTTTTTCTGGAAAAAAATGGAAAAAAAGAAGAAACTCAACAACTGAGCCAGCCAGCCGGGCTAAAAATAAAAACTTTCTACATTTCTTCTGTACTTCCTCTTTTTCTTCATCAAACTCACCGGGCGGCTGACAGGCCGAGGCACTTTCCATTCTGGCCACTAGATAGAGATAAAGATCAATTTTTGTAAAAAATAAACCAACCACAATTTGTTTTTGTCAACTGGCCATCAGTTCTCAACCTGTGGGTCGTGACCCCTTTGGGGGTCAAATGACCCTTTCACAGGGGTCGCCTAAGACCATCGGAAAACACACATATAATTCCATATTGTTTTTGTGATTAATCACTATGCTTTAATTATGTTCAATTTGTAGAATGAAATTGGGGGTCACCACAACATGAGGAACTGTATTAAAGGTACGTGGCATTAGGAAGGTTGAGCACCACTGCCCTAAGGGTTTTTAGAAGCTGCAGAACAAAGTCCCTCTTTGTAAACAATAAAAGGATTGAATCCTCCTCGGGGCTAAGCACCAACAATGAAGATGACAATAGGAATGAATGAACATCTCATCTCAGCTTTTGCTGCCAGGTCCTCCTGGGGCTGCACCCTGGATCCTTCCAAGGGCAAGGGGACCTGATCCTCCCTGATGTGGAAGAAGCCTGGCAGTGTCACATGGGCAGCTCCCAGCAGGGCGGGCAGCCATGCTGAGTGTAGACAGCAAAGGGCAGCTCTTCCTGAATAACCCCCAGTACCTAGGCAGCACCTAATCTGCATAAATTTGCAAGAGGGTGACCTCAAAGCTGTGTACACAGAGGTTGCAGGTTCTCTTAAAAACATCTCCCGTGTAGCTCAGTGGGTAGAGCATCGAACTTCGGACCAGAGTCCCAGGTTCGATTTTGGTTAAGGGCACATACCTAGGTTGCAGGCTTCTCGGGTGGGCCCTGGCCCTGGTCAGGGTTCATGAAGGAGTCAACCAAGCAATGTGTTTCTCTCACATTGATGTGTCTGTCTCTCCCTCTCTCTTCCACTTTCCCTAAAAATCTAGGGAAAATATCCTCAGGTAAGAATTAACAAAAACAAACAAAAAACCATCTCCCAGCCAGCCTGCATTGCTCAGTGGTTGAGCATCAACCTAGGAACCAGGAGGTCACGGGTCCGATGCCCGGTCAGGGCACATGCCTGGGATCTCCAGTAGGAGGCATGCAAGAGGCAGCCGATCCGTGATTCTCTCTCATCATTGATGTTTCTCTCTCACTCCCTCTCCTTTCCTCTCTGAAATCAATCCAAAAAGAAAAGAAAAGAAGCGAAGAGAAAATAAAGGTTTTGTGTATAACCTACAGGTGACATGGGCCGACCACCCTCCAGGACTTCCACACTCACCGAAGGTGGAGTCCTCGCCCAGCTCCTGGCCATACTTGAGCATGCAGTTGCCCAGCAGGTCCTCTGGCTGCAGGCACTCCGAGGCCTTCCCCCAACTGTGGATCTTCAACATTGGGCTCAGCAGCCCCAGCTTCACTCTGTATGCTTCAAGACAGGGTCATTTGTAATTCCTTCAACGGACAGGGTGGAGGGGCAGAGAGCCTGCAACAAATGCAACTGGCAAGATCGAGGGCATCCTTGGCGACATGTCAGAGACCTTAGGTGCCAAAGGGCCACAGTGACCTATTTAGTCTTTCCCATGATTGGCACATGCTTCACCCAGGTGGGTGCATAGTGATTGGTTGCAGAGTCACGTGGGAAATGGAAACTGTGCACACATTGCAACCAGCCTATATCAGGACCTCTCTCTCTTGCTCTTTCTGTCTCTCTTTCTCCTGTTAACGTAAAAAACCATTGAAACCTGTAAAGAATTTTTGTGAGTTTATTTGAGCCAAACTGTCGACATAGGCTGGGAAGCAGAACCTCAACAAATTGAGATAGTGCTCCGGAAAATGGCAGGGTTACAATCGTATTTATACATGAAATTCATTGGTGACACATTTAAGGAGGTGGGATTAAGCGAAGTGGGGAAGCCTCTGTGATAGGATAAAAAGTAAAATACTTAGGTGGGTGCAGGATCAATTAACATGATAATGAAGGAATTTGTAGTATCTGTCCTGGAGCCCAGAACATTTGCTTGTGCTCCAGGGGCTCCAGAAAAAGGAAAGTTACAAGTTACCCAGACACTTCAAGGGTATGTTATCTTAGAGGCAAAAGGCAAATGGGCTCAGTAAGGATCAAAGTTGATCTTGTCAGTGAAGATACTGGCTTAGGACATAACTGCCCACCATCACTGCTTTTAGTTAAAGTTTAATTTCAGACCATCCTTTGTGGTTATTTTAGGTCTCTGAGTCTGCTAGGCTGCCACGCAGTCATTCCCTGAGCTTGTCAGGTCAGCGTGTGGCCCCTTTCGTCCACACTCCCTTCCTTTCTGAAATCAATAAAAATATATTTTAAAAAGTAAATAAGTCCTAACCGGTCTGGCTCAGTGGATACAGTGTTGGCCTGCAGACTAGAGGGTCCCGGGTTCAATTCTTGTCAAGGGCAGGTACTTCGGTTGCAGGTCCCCTGGTCCTGGTTGGGGCACCTGCAGGAGCCAACCAATTGATGTGTCTCTCTCACATATTTTCTAAAAAATAAAATATATATTATATATTTTAAAAATCACATAAAATGTTGGTGAGTGACAAACTGCAAATTCACAGAAAAACACACTGAGACGTGATTTTCACCCGTAATAAAGGGAAAGAAACAGAGGACCTTGGCAATTCCTGGATGCTCCTCACAGGTGACAAGGGACAACGTCACAATCATTTCTGTTAAGAGTCCCGACATGCACCCTAATGGGTTTGGCTCAGCGGATAGAGCATCAGCCTGCTGACTGAAGGGTCCCAGGTTTAATTCCGGTCAAGGGCATGTACCTTGGTTGTGGGCACATCCCCAGTGTGGGGTGTGCAGGAGGCAGCTGATCAATGTTTCTCTCTCATCAATGTTTCTAACTCTCTGTCCCTCTCCCTTCCTCTCTGAAATAAATAAAAATATATTTTAAAAACAAACCCCAAACCACATTTCATGATTGGGACCCCAAGGGCGTTGTAGCTAGATCACTTCAAGGAAGGGCCCAGCCGACATTGGTGGTCAGCATGGGTCACCGTGTCGGGGCAACAGGACAGTTTCAGACATTGTCCCACATTACCTGGATTGGGCTGAATGTATTCTGTGGTTTTCAAAAGAATTTCTGTAACAGCTTTATTGGTGATATCTATTTTCTAAAAAAAAAAAAAAACACATAAAATGTTGTTAAGTGACAAACGGTGAATTCACAGGAAGGTGAATTCACAGGAAAACACAGACATGATTTTCGACGGTGACTTAAAAAAAGAGTCCCGACATGCCCTGGCCAGGTGGCTCAGTTGGTTGGCGCATCATCCTGTACACTGAAAGGTCACGGGTTCAATCCCTGGTTAGGGTGCAAATAGGAGCCAATTAGATGTTTCTCTCTCACATTGATGTTTCTTACTCTCTCTCTTCTTTTCTCTCTAAAATCAATAAAACATATCCTCGGGTCAGGATTAAAAGAAACACATTTTAACTACACACACACACACACACACACACACACACTAGAGGCCTGGTGCAGGACATTCGTAGGTTGGGGCGGGGTGCAGGGGAGCTAAGCCCGGCCTGCACCCTTTCACAGTCTGGGAGCTTTGGGGTATATCTGACTGGCAGCTTCGGCCCACTCGGGGGAACAGGCCTAAGCTGGCAGTCAGACATCCTTAGCCCTACTGAGGAGGTGGGAGAGGCTCCCTCCACTGCACTCGCCAGCCATGAGTCAGGCTTCTGGCTGAGCGGCACTCCCCTGTTGGAGTGAACTGACCACTGGGGGCAGCTCCTGTATTGAGCGTCTGCCCCTAGTGGTCAGTGCATGTCATAGAGACTGGTCCTTCTGTCATTCGGTCAAACTGAATATTACCCTTTTATTATACAAGATATTTTATTGATTTTAGAGAGGAAGGAGAGGGAGAGAGAGATAGAAACATCACCGGTGAGAGAGAGAATCATGGAGCAGCTGCCTCCTGCATACTCTACACTAGGGATCAAGTCCATAACCCAGGCATGAGCCCTGACTGGGAATCAAACCAGGAGGTAGTTCATAGGTTGATGCTCAACCACTGAACCACACCAGTTGGGCGAAACACATTTAAAAAAAAGAAGAGTCCCAACATACTTACCCAATGCTTTCATGTGCATGAATGTTCCGTATAACTGTCACAACAGAAATGTGAGGTGAGCAGGGAATGGGGTGTCACCCTGTGTTATAGTCAGAAAAGATGAACCTGCCCACCAGGCCCTCAGGCCGGTTGGATGGCCGCGCCAGGACCTGGTAATGCACCACACAGCTGTTGTGCCCAGGGAATGCACCAAGGGCTTCCATGTAGGGCATCAATATGTATGCATATGAGGATCTCTGCCCAGAAACACACTCTTGACTCTCCAAGGTGCATAACCACAATGCTCGGGCCATTTAACTGCTTGCCAAGACTGCCCATCTTGTCCAGCCAATGTGCCTCAGTGTTTGACATCGACCGACCCATGAACCAGGAGGTCACAGTTTGATTCTCAGTCAGGGCACATGCCAGGGTTGTGGGCTTGATCCCCAGTGAGGGGCATGCAGGAGGCAGCCAATCCATGATTCTATTTTATCATTCATGTTTCTATCTCCTTCTCCCTTCCTCTCTGAAGTCAACAAAAATATATATCCTATATAATAGCCTAATATGCAAATTGACCAAATGGCAGAACGACTGGTCGCTATGATACGCACTGACCACCAGGGGGCAGATGCTCAACGCAGTAGCTGTCCCCAGCCCGCAGACCGCAGGCCAGCCAAGGCAGTGCCAGCAAGGGGCCCCTGATCACCCTGCTGGTAGCCCCATACATTGGTCCTGATCACTGGCCAGGCTTAGGGACCCTACCTGTGGACAAATTTTGTGCACTGGGTCTCTAGTGTGTGTGTGTGTGTGTGTGTGTGTGTGTGTGTGTGTGTATGTAATCTAATAAAAGAGAAACATGCAAATTGTAACTTCATTATGCCCCAAGCCACGGACTATATGCAAAGTTACCCAACCAAGATGGCGGCCGGCAGACATGGAACTGAAGCAAGCAGGAGGCTTGGTTGCCCCGGCAATGAAGGGAGCCAAGCTTCCCACCTGCTCTGGCCAGCTCTAGCCTCCACTGAAGGCAACAAAGTTTCAATTATAGAAGATAAATAAACCCCAGATACCTGTTTCCAGCCAGCCTCCACTGGGAGCTTGGGTGACTGGGGGCCGTGCCCAGCCTGCAAACAGCCATCAGCCTCTCACCCAGGCTGGCCAGGCACCCCGGGGGGACCCTTAACCTGAAGGGGCTGTGGCCAGTCTGCAAACAGCCATCAGCCCCTCACCCAGGCTGGCCAGGCCCCCCAAAAGGGACCACCACCCTGAAGGAGCTGTGACCAGCCTGCAAACAGCCATCAGCCCCTCACCCAGGCTGGCCAGGAACCCCAGTGGGGACCCCCACACTGAAGGGGCTGTGGCCGGCCTGCGAACAGCCATCAGGCCCTCACCCAGGCTGGCCAGGCACCCCGGGGGAACCCTTAACCTGAAGGGGCTGTGGCCAGTCTGCAAACAGCCATCAGCCCCTCACCCAGGCTTGCCCGGCACCCCCGTGGGGAACCCACACCTG